AGAGGCCTGATTAGAGTAACCCTGGGTAGGTCTGAGCCGTAAATGGACAAGTATTCTGTATAGCCAGTTTGGTGTAGTGGTTAAGTGCGTGGACTCTAATCTGGGAGAACTGGGTTTGATTCCCCACTCCTCCACCTGCAGCTGCTGGATGACCTTGGGCAAGCCATAGTTCTGTCAGAGTTGTCCTTGAAAGAGCTCCCTCGGCCCCACCTACTTCACAGGGTGTCTGTTGTGGGGAGGGGAAGGGAAAGGAGTTTGTAAGATGCTCTGAGAAGAGCGGGGTATAAATCCAATCTCCCCCCCTCCTCCTTCTATTTCAGCTTCATGCCAAACTTCCTTTTTTCTATACCTTACGCTCCCAACCCCCTTGGGGGAGAAAAACCCTACTTTCCCCCATGGTTTCAAAATTTCCAGAATTAATATATCTATGTGGGTCACACTAAATTCTTCCAACCTGGAGGGAGTGTATGGAAACAGGTAGAGCACATTCCTTTGCCCCCCCCTCCCCCTTTGTAGAAGGGATAAATGACAGCAATACAGTGGAAGCTTTGCGTCTCTCCTCTTCCGGTATTTCTCTGTTCCTCTCCCACCCCAGGGAAAAGGAAGAGAGTGCCTGTCCTCTTAGGCACAGTTTGAATAAACAAAGCTGAAGGGCACTGAACTTTTACAAGGTCTGTTACAGAAACTTTTTTTTAAAAAAGGAGCTGCAGGTATCATCCAGGTTGAAAGCAAGAGGAAGTGGAATAGCATCGCCTCCGCTTTGTCCACTGTCACACTTGAGGTGTGCCAGTCCAAACATGCTACAGCCTAAGGGTGGTGGGTTTTTGTGTGTGTGCACCACTGACGTTTCCCGATGAAATCCACCATATGTTATGTGGATACAACACCTGTGACTGGCTTGCAGATATTTACATGAATAAAAGTAAACTGAAAAAAGGTGGTTTACAGCCTTTGTTATGCTTAATCCTTGGTCAGCTTTCTAGCATGAACCAAGTGCAGCGTTGTAACTTTCCTACCCAGTTGCGTTTGAAAACGGTCTGCCTGCCTGCACAGTTCCTGTTTCTCCACCAGCCAAAGGGACTACAGGAGTCTGCCTGCTGGGTGCAGACTGAGGGTTTTCCCTTCCCAGGCTGCCCCTGCAACCTCCTGCTGACCCCCATACTTTTGGTCTGACCCAATAGCCCCACTGGTCAAGGGACCTTTGTAATCTCTGGCGGATTACACTTGGAACAGAACAAGACCTGCTAAGCGCCGCACACTTCTGTTATTCAGAGGTTGCAAAATATTTCTGCAGTTTATATAGTCCTTATATTGCGGCATTGTTGTGATTAACCTTGCCAGCTGCGTCAGTAGAGCCCTGAGCTTAGTTGGCCCAGATCAAGACAGAACCTCTGCTGATCCCTTGGGTAGGTGTAAGCTTACCGCTCCAACTTGATCGCCCCAGATCCAGTCTTCTCAGCCTCTGGCCAGATTCATGGCCTTTTTATACATTCCTGACTGGGACCGTAAGTTGGAGTAAATTATGATTGGTCACTGCCAGGTGGTTTAATTTTTGTTTCTAAATGACATTGCCCTTAAATTACTGATTTGGCCAAAAGGAGGTCCTATTGGTCCTATTACAATTGCACACATGTGTACAGTTCTTTAAAATGTGTCACAGTTTTGGGGCTGGGGTTAATCTTACATTCAGGACCGTTGTATTTAAACTGTTCAGCCATGACTTCTTGCTTTTCTACCCTGTTTCCCCGAAAATAAGACCTACCCCAAAAATAAGCCCTAGCAGGATTTCTATGCATTTGTGGTATAAGCCCTAGTGTGTCTTCTTGAGAAAAAATAAATATAAGACAGTGTCTTATTTTCGGGAGAACACGGTACCTTATCAGTCCCACTCAAATGTCAGCCTTCCCCAAGTGTGCACACACGACATATCACTTACAAACACATCATAGTTAGACACATTCTTGTCATGTTGATTGTAGCAGGACACAGCTTGGTACATGTTTAACAGAAGTGCCAAAGGAATTAAGAAGTTTGCCCAGTTAAGGCAATTACATTTTAACAAGTCATTTGATTTGTAAAAAAGCGCATTACACTGGGGAAATTAAAGATAGGCTATCCTGTTTCGGATCATTGACGTGAGCGCTGTTCCTGTTTATAGACCCATCTAGAACTTGAGACACCCGTCCCAGCAAAATATAACCATTTCACTTGTGGGGCGGCATTATTGTCCATCTCCAGAAGGTTATTATATCAACATTTAATTGCTCCTTCATTCACTTATCGGTTCCTTCTTTCCTTCCACTTCCATAAAAGCTTTTGGGGGGGGGGCACACTGGAGCACTATTAAGTTATCCCTCCTGGCCTTTAAAGACCGAAACAACAGCAAGAGAGTATAAATAATCCAGAGTGTTAGCCCTGCTCTCCCTTGCACCCATGCTTGGAAAGAATGGCTACAATAATATTCCCATCCTACCTTTTACCCTAGGGGCACTGTTCTTCCTCCTTCGGGAGGTTCGTTGCCATGACCTAAGGATGCTTCTGCTGCTCAGGAGGCCCATAATATAATTGCTTACTGAGATATCCATAGCGTATGTGGTTCTGTGGCTCGTTGCTCTGTTCTTCAAAACTTCCCAGTTGAATGCTGAAATGGATTATGAAAGCAGATTTCCTTTGCATTTTTTTAGCCTTTTCATGATTCCCAAAATCATGTGGAGTGTGGAAGAGTTGATATGAAGGCAGAGCCCCATGGTTGCAGTGACGAATGTGGTTATTAGGGAGGAGGCAAGATGCACCAGGACTGGCTCTTGAGTAGACATGCTCATGGCCATGCCGGAAAATTGTAGATTAGTAAATGTGTAACTCAGTGAAGCATTTGTCTTCTGGGTACTCAGTTTCTTTCAACTGTGTTCTCTTGCAGGTGATGAATCTCTTGATGGGCATCTTGTTGACCGTCGAAGTGACTCACCCCAATACCGTGCCAACAGTTGACATCCAGTATGAAGTCATTGGTAACTACTATGCGTCTGAGACAGTGGCTGGTAGGTGTAGATAGCTGTACAGTCAAAGACTCTTGCTTTCTTCCCACATAAACAACTCCCCCCCCCCCATTAAGTACAAATTTGTATTTCTCAGGAAACTTGTCACAGTATTGGCGTGACATATTCCAGTTCTTTTTAAACAGTGATTTGTGATGCATACTGTTGAGAATCTGCTACTGAGCAAAGCCATGGCATCCTTGCTGCTTATCTCCCCCTGCCCCACCAAGTCCTTGGTGTGCTCTGGAAAACTTGGGGGGAATGGAAGGGGGGGGGCGTCTTGTAAATCTTACTGTTGAAGCTTGGAGGTGGCCGAAGCAGTGGGAGAGGCTTGGCTGAGGGAAGTGTGTGTGGGGGGGGGAGGGCCAGGGGCCCCTCATCTGAGAAAGCCCGCGATCTCGCAATCTACACGGTGGATTTGTGGGGAGCTATGAAAGGACCTTTCCTTTTGAACAACAAAATGTTTCTGGGGGGGAAATCTAAACGAGACAGTTCATCTGGAGGTGCTCTTCCTCATCATGTCAGTTTTGTGCAGCTTTTCTTAACCAAACATTATCTCGGTTAGTTAGATACGCCGTTTGCCACAACCCCCTGCTGAGTCATGTTGCTCCATAGCTGCTTTTCTAGAACGATGTAATATCTTATTATTTGGGGGAGTTTTGAATTGTGCGTGTTGAAAATTAATTCTCGTTACTTTGCCGCTTTGGGTCACTGTGCATGGGGAAAGCATGGAGAGTACATTGTGGATGTGAGACTATGGCCAAGAGCTCCCCTGGGTCTACTTGGCTTCCTCCCTCCTTTTTAAGTATGAATATTTAACAACTGCTTGTCAACTCCTGAACCAAGTTGAAGATGATGCAAAAAGAAAGAAAACGCTAAGGAAAAGGCATCAACAGTATGAATGTGTTCTGTACTAAAATAAAAACAAATTTATTAGGCAATAGTCTGTTGCATATTCTTTATATTTCATGCTAATGAGTTAATTCTGTGTTAAGGTTGGTGGTCACACAGCCCAACAGTTACTGCTTACAATGTTCGTATGCTTCCAGACACTTTTTCATAGCAATAATAGCTCTTGAACATGACACAATACATATGTATGGATATTACACTACGCCCTCAGACAATATACAAAAAGTGCCCATAGACTTCCCATGACAAAATGGTGTCACTGATATAAGGCAGAAATTTCTTATGCAGTGGCTGTGCATATAACTTGGAACCAACTTTCACAGAATATATGAAGAAGAAGAAGAAGAGATTGGGTTTATACCCCGCCCTTCACTTGGAGTCTCAGAGCGGCTTACAAACTCCTTTCCCTTCCCCTCGCCACAACAGACACCCTGTGAGGTGGGTGGGGCTGAGAGAACTCTGACACAAACTGCTCTTTTTCAAGGACAGCTGTGCCAGAGCTTGTGACTGACCCAAGGTCACATCAGCAGGTGCAAGGGGAGGAGTGGGGAATCAAACCCGGTTCTCCCAGATTAGAGTCCGCACACTTAACCACTACACCAAACTGGCTTCCATATTCATGGAATTATTGTAGACTAACAGTTCTCAACGTGTGCAAAAGGTGGAGAAAACTAACTGGAGCCCCATGCAGTATTTGGAACCAGATTTCACCGAATGTATTTACAAAATTATTGCAGGCCAGCAGTTCTCAGCTCATCATAATCATAAGCTGAGAACTGCTGGCCTGCAATAATCTTGTGGATACATACCTGGGAAACGGGTACATCTGTACACCTGCTGCACAGGGCTGCATAAGAAATTTCCGCCATATATCAGTGACACCATTTTGTCATGGGAAATCTATGCACACTTTTTGTATGTTGTCTGAGCATAGTGTAATATCCATACATATGTATTGTGTCATGTTCAAGAGCTCTTATTGCTGAGAAATAATGCTTGGGAACATACTAACATTATAGGCAGTAAGTGTTGGGCTGTGACCACCAACCTTAATACAGAATTAACAAATTAGCATGAAATAGAAATAATATGCAACAGACTGTTGCTGAATAAATTTGTTTTTATTTTAGTGCAGAACACATTCATATCGTTGATGGTTTTTCCACAGCATTTTCTCCCTTTTTGCATACCGTATGCTGAGGTTCCCCCTTTATTTTCTCTAAGCTGAAGATGGTGGCTGGTGTAATACTTTCAGTAAACATGCTTCAAGTGCAAAGGACTTCAAATAGACCCTAAGGTTAGCCAGAAAGCAGAGATACAACTCCTGCCCACTGTCTCTGAAGGGTATGGCTGGTGACCTGGAAGTGAGCTCCATCAGGCTTCTAAGTAGACTTCTTTGTGTAAACGTTCATCCTGATGGGCCTGCCATGTGCTGGAATGTCCCTTTGGCCTTATGGATATTCTGCACAGTCCAAAGTAGTGGTTCAGTTTGGTGTAGTGGTTAAGTGCGCGGACTCTAATCTGGGAGAACCGGGTTTGATTCCCCACTCCTCCACTTGCACCTGCTGATGTGACCTTGGGTCAACCACAAGCTCTGGCACAGCTGTCCTTGAAAAAGAGCAGTTTGTGTCAGAGTTCTCTCAGCCCCACCCACCTCACAGGGTGTCTGTTGTGGGGAGGGGAAGGGAAAGGAGTTTGTAAGCCGCTCTGAGACTCCTTCGGGTAGTGAAGGGCGGGGTATAAATCCAATCTCCTCTTCTTCTTCTTCTTTTAGCAGAGAGAGATGTATGCCTATCGTGTCTTCCTTTCTACCACATCTCATACTTCGTGTTGTGTTCTAATACACACTGTAAAGGCTGGTGTCCAGCCCACCACTCGAATCCCCGAACTACACATTCAACAGATTGGCTTTATTGAAAACACAAACTTCCATGTTGTATTAACAGTATCTGAGTCTTGATGGACGCTTCTATTTTGTTTTGTTTTTCCCCTCCCCCCCCCTAGAAAATGCATGTGTTGTCTTCGCCATCTCTCTCCTCATGTTCACAATCAGTGCTATGATGGTTTATGGAGCCATTGCGGTGAGTACACACAAATGTTTTTCAGATCCGAATCGCGCTGGTTGAATTTCAGAACTGACCCGCTCATTCTTTGTTTTGCATTTCTAGCACCGAGTTGGCTGGCTGATTCCATTCTTCTGTTACCAGCTTTTTGACTTTGTCCTCAGTTGTCTGGTGGCTGTAAGTTCTCTGACGTACTTGCCAAGAATAAAAGACTACTTGGACCAGCTGGTAAATATCTTAAGTGTAACTTACTTGTTTTATGTACATTTTTAGCCCACCTTCCTTCCCCTTAATTTGTCAGTGAAACAGACTTTTAGGGTAGTTGAGGCTGTGTGTGTGTGTGTGACAGGCCCACAGTCGCCTCCTGAGCTTCCTGGCAAAACGGGAATTTGAACCCAGAATCTAGCCCAGCCTTCTAGCCGTGACAGAACAAAGTGTGTGCTCACACACTATGTCTATGGATCATCTTAGCCTCACTATTTGATTTTTTAAAAACCCACTTTAATTAGCAAGAGTGCTTATGGAATGATACAGGCTACTTCATATCTCTGTTACCTGTCGCGCACAGGTGGGAGTGGAGGTCTGCTTGTACTTCTGATGGGTGACATCACAACTTTTTAATAAACTTTTTTGTTTGATGCCATCTTTGGAAATTGTCCTGAGAGTTGGGCTTTGCTTTTGATTCCAGTATAACGCTGGGTGCGTATGAGTCAAGAGACTCATGTAGGTCTGTCTTGTATGGCTTCAAGGTAGTGGTGGTAGTAGCACCCTCATAGCATTCACAAATGGTGCGGGTTCCATGGGCAGCTGGTTTATCGATGTTTCCTTCACAACGGGAAGGAAATTAGATGATGGTTGATGGTTTTTTAGACGTGATGTATTAATTTTACTGGTTTTTATTTGTTGTAAGCCGCCCTGAGCCGCTTCGGCGGGAGGGCGGGATAAAAATCTAATTAATAAATAAATAGAAAATGAAGGCAAAAGTCAGCATTATGTAGTTGCTTTGAAATAAGTGCCTACCGTCAGGTCTCCTGGGAACTTAGCACTGTTCTGCTGTTTAAAGTGTGACTGTTTTCTTTAGCCAGATTTCCCATACAAAGAGGACCTCCTTACCATTGACTCAAGCTACCTTCTGTTCGTTGTCTTGGTGTTCTTTGCCTTAGTCATCATCTTAAAGGTAAGTTTTCAGATCCTGCATACTACTGGATCTTTCGTTAAGGTGCAAGTGTCTATCTAATGTATTCTTGACAGTTTCTTTGTATTTAGGACAGTTGTTGACTTGAGCATTCTGACTGGTCTTTCCAGTTAACTGCTCTCAATAGTAGTTCTCAAGTCCCAGTAGGTGTCTCTACAAGCCTTGCTACTTGATATCTCTTTACTGGAGTTACAGTGGCATCTAAACTGTATTTCGTGCACAGTTCAGTTCAGTTTTTAGTACAGCCCACAGACTATTGAGAAGCAAAGTAAAACAGATTAAAAACACTAATATAAAATTAATTACTGCGTTAAATCTCTTGATGCATCACTTGTCTTAAGGTACCTACAGTTAAATGTTTAGAATCTGAGTAAATTATGCGCTGGATGTTATCTCAGCTCATATTTTCGTTGCAGCACATAGAAACTTTGCCAAAGGAACAGTAATTTTTTGGTCAACCCCTGCCAATAAGATTGATAGAATTTTCTGCTGAAAGAACATTTTCTTATCGGCCAGCAGAGGTTCCAGTAAATCCAAGCGTGCCTGTACATAGAATCTACAATGGCAAAGATGTGAACTGATGTTTCAATCAGGTTCGCAAGGCAAAGACAAAATCTACAATTAGATTAATATTTTTGTATCTTCTTGACAGGAGTGCAGATGGTAGCGCATTAAATCTAGCCAGCATAAATGCATGGCAATATGTTGGAACTGCTGTACCACTTAACTTTTAAGTCCTTCCTGCATCTTCTTGATAGCTGAGCATGGATCAGTGCTAGAAAATCTTAAGATAGTTGTAAACCTCCTCAGTGGGTTTTTATTTATTTTCTTTAAGTGATGTAAGAATAAAACATGATCCCAAGAGAATCATTTATGCCTGAGAGGACGACACCGTACATTGGTTGCAACCACCAGGTGCATCCTGGGAAGTGTCCAGAATGCTCTGTGCACCATTGATACCCAAAACACTTGGGGGGAGACAGCATTTTTTTCTTTGGCTGCCTGCTGCTGCCACTACATCACTCCCTCTCAGCAGGACGGATCAGTTGAGATATGATGGACCAGTGAGTAGAAGTCAGCAAGGAAATGTTTTTGCTTCAGATTTACCATTCAGGCCCAAGAATAACTCATTACTTGTGATCCACACTTTCTGAGCTAGCAAAGCTCTTACGCCGATCCAAAGGGGAATGAACTTCAGAGCCATTTTTAACCATAAGTTTTCATGTTGTCACTAAAACCTAACACCCAGTGTGAAAAGCAAAATTGGTGATCCTTTGATCAGAGAGGAAGAGGCTGTGGTTCAGCCATAGAGCCTCTGCTTTGTATGCAGAAGGTCCCAGGTTCAATTCCTGGCAGCTCAAGTTAAAACAAAAGAACCAGGTAAAAAGACCTCCGCCTGAGATCCTGGAGAGCCGCTACCAGTCTGCGCAGACAGTACTGACCTTGATGGATCAGGGGTCTGATTCAGTATAAGGCAGCTTCATAAACTAGAAATTTGAGTAAAAATACTTAGCGGCCAGGGACAAAAGCCCTGCTAGCAGGTTGAAATCTATTTGTGTCCCTCAAAAATGAGCTCCTCTTTTAAAGGGACGGGGCAGGTATCTCTTCCTAACTTGCATAGAACAGGAGAACTATTTTTAAAAATGAGTTAGAACTTGGATGTGATCCTCGGTGGGACTCAGATACGGAGTTGCCTATCATTATCAGTCCGGGACATTGACTTGGATATTTTTGCTCTGTTAATTTGTATAGATCAGCCTGTCTTGTTCTAGGACAACGCATTCCTGAACTGCGTTGATTGCTTGGGCAAACTGTTTGTGTGGACTAAAACCGCCATCATACGTCACCTTTTAAGTATAGACGTTCAGGCATGTGTTTTCTTGAACATCTCTGAGAACAATGGGGAAGGGGAGAGTGTTAACTGGGGTATCCTGCATGCAAAGAATTTGCCTACTTGGTCAGTTAGGGATGATTATTTTTTTTATAGTAATGATGCCTGTCAGCTGTAGAATTCAACAGGAATCTAGTGAAACTTTAAAGGCCAAGAAAATTTTCACACCGGCATGGCTTATAGCCCACTTCTTCAGATGCAGTATAGTGGCTTGCAGGCAAACTTTTAATGTAGTGTGTGTGGGGGGGGAGTGAGCAGCAGGGTCAAAAGGGCCTGAAAAGCAGGAGGTACAGGGCAACGCATAACTATGTAAAATTCACTGCAAAAGTACAGGTACCATTCATTAGTTTTTCTAAACTAGTTAAGACCTGTAATGGCTAGGGAGTCACAGGTTTCACGAAGATCATACCTACAGTGAGTAAGAAGTCCCATGTCCTTGTTCAGCCTTGGGGAAATGGTGTACTGAACTTCTTAATGAATTCTCATTCAGCACTTTCTTTTTGAAGCTAGTTTGGGGGATCCTGGTACATCCTGCCTTGGGGAATTTGTTCATGTTCTTTTTAGGGCACATAGGTGTTCAATATTACCAAAAGCCTTCCTGCTCTGATGAGCCAGAGATGGTGAATATTGCATTTGGTTTCCATTGGGCAGTGCTTCTTCCTGACATTGCTTATGGAGAAATTTGGACCACTAACATCAACCATCTGGATAGTTACCTCTGATGATCCTAATTAACAACATAGAGAGATACCTAGTCCATGTAAAAAAAAAAATTACATCTGGGTGTTAAGGGATGTGGTCAGGCATGTTTGTAATTTTAACTGGTTTGTATTGTACAGATTTAAACCACTGAGAAAGGCCTCAAGACCGAAACACATTTGGTTTACATGTATTTTATGTTATTTATAACTGTACTTGGCCACAGGAAAGATGCTTGTAACTATGTGTCCCCCATGTGTACAAGTGCTGTTTTACTGAAATAGGCTTTTTACACTAGGGGAAGGTACCTATATATGTTACCAAAGACTGATGTATTTTGATTCAGTTTGTTATATTTATAATTTAATTAAAGTTTTTGGAATATAATTTTAGCTTTTTTAAAAAACAATTTTTATTAGGATATATCAATAAATCAAACTATACATCACCTTACAAACTGTCATATATCCCTTTCTCCTAATTACCTACCCCTTCTGACTTCCCACAGTGCTCCAACCTCCAACCCAAATCTTGTATTTCCCTCTTTCCCCCCTTACTCATTGATCAAATTCTACCGGTAACATATCTTTTAACTGTTGTTCTTATATATTTAAACTTATTCTAAATAACCTTCTTTTTTCAATAGTTATCAAAGCAAAATAAGTTGTTTTTTACATCCCAATATTTCTCTAAATATTCTTTAAAGTCTTTCCAGTCCGCAAAAAATTCTTCTGCTTTCTGGTTCTTAAGCTTTCTTGTCATTTTATCCATTTCAACCATAAAAAGTAACTTATTTAGCCACTCCCAAATTCCGGGAGTTCTTTCTTGTTTCCAGCATTGAGCATATGTCATTCTAGCAGTTGTAGTCATATACCACATCAGAGTCCGTTTTGCAGGAATATAATTTTAGCTTTTTAATTGACACTGTTAATTCCATATATAAGGATTTTTCTGTTTTTCAACTGTTTGGGTTGCCTGCTCTGTTCTGGGTTGGACCCCCCCCCCCCCCGCCTTTGTGTGTGTGTGTTCATTTTTGCTGTATCCACCTTGATGCCTTGTGTTTTCCAAGAGACATGATAGTTGCACTTGTTGGGGAAGTTGCATATAAATTCCTTTTGTTTCTGTTTTGCTGACACACACACACGGACTATACTTGCCAGTATCTGTGGGCTGGGGATGCTGTGTACTATTGCTGATGTGACTGGTGCACCTAGAAGCTGCTAGTCTGCCTGCACTTTCATGCTAATGAAGTGACACACACACACACACATCCACCCAGCCTGGGAAGAAGAAGGCATCTCCATTGTGGTCAGCCAAGGACTTGTCCACCATTGAGGAATTACAAGCTAACCCATAGCCCTGAGATAATCTGGTTTGCATCTGAAGAGACTGTTTCCTGTTTACAGCTTGGGACCAAGCTAAAGTGATTTACAAGTCAAAGGTTGTCTTGGCAGCCAGCATTCACACCTTGACCAGATGCATTCACTGAGTTAAAGGATTAGATTTTGATATTGCCCCCTCTCTCTAGGTAGACACGTCATCTCCTAGTAACCAATAAAGTTAGGTAATGGGATGGACTACAGATGGGAGGATGGTACAGATGCCAACCCCCTAACATAGGTTATAAATTGCAAGGTTCAACAGTTTGAACCCTGCTAGCCATCTTCTACCTCAACTATGCAACCTAAGCTCTACTATAGGCAGGGGTCTCATGGGGGGGGAGCGCTCCGGAGCCCCGCTCCGGGAGTGACCCGCCCAGGGAACGGGGCAGTCACATGACCCAGCCCCGCCTCCTGCTCCCAGCAGCCAGCCCCAAACGGTCCTGAGTTGAGCGCCGGAAAGAAACAGAACGTGCGCGCCATAGTTAAAAGGCTTCGAAGCCCGCGCGACAAGTTTCTCGAGGGCTAGCGAGGAGAGCCACGTGCAGGGCCGCTCACTCACTAGGCATTGCCTAGGGTGGGCTGGCCGTTAGGGCGCCAAACTGCACCGGCGCCCCGCCAAAAGCGGGATCCTTGGGTGAAGTCTGAACTCTGTATACACAGACCAAGAGCCCCTTACTCATTTAGTCTTGCCCCTGCTGTAGATAAAGCAGGTCAGGCTAACAAGCTGGCTGCTGCATAGCTATGGCACTGCTAGTCTCTCCCCTATGTGGACTGGTTACATGGTGGCTAGCTGTTTCACAGATCCCCCCCCCCTCCAAGACACATGTGGGTTTTTCAAAATCAGTTTAACAGTTTTCATATGTACCCTCCCATGGGGACTCGTGGAATGTAAGAATGAGGAGTGTTCCTTCTAAGCTGAGTTAGTGTGAGCTAGGTAAAGGTTCCCTTGCTCGAAAGCCAGTCGAATCCGACTCTAGAGTTGCGGTGCTCATCTCCGTTTCCAAGCCGAAGAGCCAGCGCTGTCTGAAGACGTTTCCGTGGTCATGTGGCCGGCATGACTAAACACCAAGGCACACGGAACGCTGTTACCTTCCCACCGAAGTGGTCCCTATTTATCTACTTGCAATTTCTTGCTTTTGGACTGCTAGGTTGACTAGCTCACAGTTTTTTAGCCTCTGGCTCACACATTTCTGTCTTCGCTCAAGAAGGAGGGCTCCAGAGCAAACTAATTTATGCAGGAGCCAAATCACTGGCTCACAACAGTAGCTCACAAAGTAGAATTTTTGCTTACAAGACTCCACAGCTTACAGGGAACTCCGTAGACCTGTGACAGCTGCAGCTCAGAAGCTGGCTTGGAATACCAAGCACCCTGTTGGTGAGTCAAACAGTGCACACAATTTGGGGTGGGGGTAGGAGAAGTCAGGGCTGAGAGCCAGCGTGGCCCGGTTGCGGGGCCATCCCAAGCAGAGTTGCCCTCCTGGTCTTAGAAGGGAGTAAGTCTGCCTAGAATGGCACTACCAGGCTCCTTGGGGGTCACCTAAAACCACATGCAGGGTTTCACGTCCTCTCTCTCTCTTTCCTTCCAAGAGGAGACAGCTTCTCCTTGCTGCTTATTATTATTGTTTTATTACTTCCCAGCTCTAAATTATCTTCTCTGCAATTCTGTGAAGTACATTTGGCAGGGAGCTCCTGACAACCTAGATTGCTGAAGTGGCAAAGAAGATCTTTCTGAGAGCCAGGAAGTCCCCAAATCTTGCCTTGGTCATAAATTAATCAGGCAGCTGCGGGCATTCATAGCCTCAGTCTGCACTGTCTGTAATATGGGGATGATCACCTGCTTTACAGGGTGGTTGTTACAGGGTTAAGAGCCGGTATGGTGTCAGAGTGTCAGTCTGGGATCCAGGGATCCTAGTCTCAATCCCCATTTTGCCATGGAAGCTTACTAGGTGTCCATGGGTCACACACAATTTTGGCCTCACCTACCTCACAAGATAGATATGGGTAGCCATGTTAGTCTGTCTGTGGCAATAGAAAAGAAAAAGAGGTAAGCAGTGACACAAAAGTTCATACCCTGCCACAAATTTTGTTAGTCTTTAATGTGCTACTGGACTCTTTCTCTTCTCTACTGCTACCTCACAAGGTTGTTGTGAAGATAAAATAGAGAGGGCAAACAACCTTATTTCCCCATTGGGAGAAAAGGCCAGGTATAAATGAAGTAAATAAATCAGTTGTTGAGAAGATTACTAAGAACGTGTGTGGGGTATTTTGTACTTAGTTGCCACAGCAGTCTGTTCAAGGCTACCCCCAGTGGTTTGCCTAAAGGCATGACTGAACAGAGAGCTCACTGGCTCCGATTAAGTGTTTGAGTGAATGATGCTGCTTGCTATGAGCACTTGAGGATTTTGAGAACAGGAAAAAGACACTTCCATGAAATGGCTGGCAAGGTGGGGTGGCACAGCCAGTCACTAAATGGCTGCCATGGGGGGTTGTGGCCAGTCACAAAAGCATCCTCCTGCAAGGGAGGCAGCTGTTTCTCAGCTGGTGCTCCCTGGAGGCACAAAGGTGATGCCACCTGGGCTTTTCTGAAGCACCACTGAAGTGAGGGCAAGCTAGGACTGGCTATTTTGCTTTGAGGAGGAGATCCGCGGCGCCCCGGGAGGCCCGGCCACCCTCCTCCCCGTGCTTCCTGGCCCCTGGTATTTTTGGCCCTTGTGTAACAGAGTGTTGGACTGGAGGGGCCATTGGCCTGATCCAGCATTGGCTTCTCTCATGTTCTTATGTCTGGGGCAAGGGATGCTCTGTATTCTTGGTGCTTGGGGGGGGCAGTGGGAGGGCTTCTGGTGTTCTGGCCCCACTGCCAGACCTCCTGAGTGCACCTGGTATTTTTGGCTGATGTGTGACACAGTGTATTTATCTTTTGTATATGGTTTCCCATTTGTGCTTACCTTACAATAGTAGGCTGATGCAGTGCTAGGGGCAGGCCTTCTGTGCTGCTGCTAGTCCACCAGTTTAGCCACAAGGTATAGATAGGAACTCTCAGTGTAGGGCAAGTGATGCTCTATATTCTTGGTGCTTGGGGGGGGCAGTGGGAGGGCTTCTGGTGTTGTGGCCCCACTGCCGGACCTCCTGAGGGCACCTGGTATTTTTGGCCCCTGTGTGACTCAAAGTGTTAGACTGGATGGGCCACTGGCCTGATCCAACGTGGCTTCTCTTATGTTCTTACGTCTGGGGCAAGGGATGCTCTGCATTCTTGGTGCTTGGGGGGCAAGAGGGGGTGGGTTCCTGGAGCTTTGGCCCTGCTGGTGGACCTCCTGAGGGTACCTGGGTTTTGTCCAGTGTTTCCTCTAAGTACAAGGTCGTTAACAGTTTTTTAGCCTCCGGCTCATACATTTTTGTCTTAATTCAGGAAAGATGCCTCCAGAGCAAACTAATTTATGCAGTAGCCAAATTGCTCACTCATAGCTTTAATGCCAGTCACTCACAAAGGAGCATCCCGGGATGTGATATCAGAGTCATGTGACAGGAAGAGGGGGAGCTGGACCATAACCAACAGACCGAAAGGGCCAAGGACAAGAAACAAAAAACAGTCATCAAGAGGTTCCAGTGATGTCAGGGGATGTGGCCTTATGACACACTTCCGGTGATGCCAGGGGGCGTGGCCTTATGACACACTTCCGGTGATGTCAGGGGGTGTGGCATATGCTAATGAGTTATGCTAATGAGCTCCGGCAGCTCTTTTTCTACAAAAAGACCCCTGACTATAGGTAATTCTCACGTGCTTTCTTGGACTGCAGCCAAGAAGCCCACATGTGTTGGCTGGTACCAACTGTGTGAAGTAGGATTTCCTTAAGTTAGAACTTCTGTATTCCCACATTCTTCGGTGTGAAGGTCGAGCTCTGGATCAGATAAGTATATGCCGTTTTCCCTTTTCCATTCCCATCCATTTAGTGTAAAAGTGATAGTTTTCTATTTTTTCTGTATCTAAAGGAACTTGTATGTATGAGTGAGTGATTCTGTTTTTGTGTGCTTGTGAATTAAACATTATTCAGTAAAGAGAGCAACTGATTTTACAACTGCAAATCTTGTCACGTTGTCTCTTTGGGTGGGATCCTTGGGTGAAGTCTGAACTCTGTATACACAGACCAAGAGCCCCTTACTCATTTAGTCTTGCCCCTGCTGTAGATAAAGCAGGTCAGGCTAACACACTTGTGGTGCACCAGTGGTCATTTGTGTTCTCTGATTTAGATTTCTGCTTGGAGTGCTGGCCCAGAATTTACAGTTGCTATTCTAAGGATTATACGTGACAATTCTTTTTTTGCAAGATTAGTGGATTTAGGAACAATCAGGCTCCATTTGTAAATTTTGTTCTGTGCCTTGTTTTGGTCTTCCTCTGTTCTGCTGCTGTTGGCATGCTGTTCAGTGGAGAGGAAGGTCTTAGCTTCTGATATACTACAGATGTGATAGCCTCTGGTGTTGATGCTGTGATCTGTAGAGTGTTCACAATGGGAAGTACAGCAAGTTGTAGCACTGATTGCCCATAGTCCCTTACATGGTAATGGCCCTGATTTGTATTGTCAAACTGTTTAAAGGCTGGGAAAAATAATTGAATTAGCTTCTCTAACATGGTTTTTGATGTGTATATGTGTTTGGTTTGAGGTCTGTGTAATTCACAGATTTAGTCCACTATCCCTTTCTCTCTTCTCCCCTCCCCCTTTTACAGGCCTACCTAATTAACTGTGTATGGAACTGCTATAAATACATCATCAACAGAAACGTGCCTGAGATAGCTGTGTACCCTGCATTTGAAGCGCCTCCACAGGTAAAATCTTCATAAAGCCTGACTAATTAAGCTGTCAGTTTGCATGCTGAAACAGTTAATTGGTGGAACTGTGCCTCTCCTTTGGACTAGCGTAAATGCTTACAGGCTTTCAGACTTTCATATTCTTCATCATGCATAGGTTTCTTAGAGGCAGAATCTAACAACTTGGTTTAAGTCTAATGGCCTTTGGCTTGAGTTCCCTGATTTTATGAGAATAAAGTTGGCTGCAAAATGTATTATTAATCATGGGTCTTGCTCAGGTAAGGGCTTGAGCAAAGATGTCATTTTTTTTAAATCACAGAAGCCGTGTAGCAAATGAGCAGCATAATAAATTCAGAGCAAGTAATTTCTCTGCAGTTTCATGGAAGCTGGAAAATTCTGTTCCTCTGGTTACGTTCTGAACACATACATCTGGCAATCTGGTAGCTTTTAAACTTAGCAGGTGTCCTGCTTTCAGATTTGATCAGTATCCACTTCTGAAGAAATACAGCGGCCTCTTGCAGTGGAGAAGCCGTTTGGATTATAGTTCTGTAAGTGTCTGCTGCAGTATTGTAGCATACATAAAAGCTGCGAGCGGTAATGAAGGGGACTTTATTCATTTAGTATTTTTAGTTCAGCATTACTTTTGTGGGTATGGATTTCTAAGGATCAGTGCCAAATTAAATTCTCAGAAGGGGATGTTTTCAGAATTCTCACTGTGATCAATGTGTTCTTGAACGAGATGACAAAAGTGATGATTCATGCTGTCACTTTTGAGATAGAACAGTCACCTCAGAATGACCTTATCAAAGTTTTTCTGGTAAAATAGTGGCAAAACTCGAAGATTAAGTTTGTGGTAATTTCCAGTTCTGCAACACCAGAGGAGGAATCTTTTGGTAAGACTTCTACTCCACCCTTCCCCCAATTAATGGGGGGGGGGATTCTCCAGGAGATGTGCAGGGTAGAGATGTGAAGGCACAGAAAAAACCTGAAAAAAATAGGGAAAAAACCGTTTTTTTTCCTCAAGCCTTTTTTTTTTCTGAAAAATTGAAAAAAGAAAAGAAAAGAAAAAAAATTGATTATGGAACGTTTTATTTTAACATGATGAATAAAATATTTTAAGACAAGGTGTTCAAATATTTTCCAAATCATTTCTAATATATATATATGGTATCAGATTGATCTAATTTCTGTGCACTGAGGACAAGCAAGTCCTAGGTTACAAACTGAACTCTCCAATGCAAGAACAAGATGCATTTCTTTTTTTAGGAGGTGCGATTGTCAGAAGAAAATAAAAAAGTTTCAGTTTTGTTTTTGCATGTGGGTGGGTATTCTGTTTGTAATAATTGTTTGGATACACTATATTTTTAATATGCTAGTTGTGATAATTTCATGCCAAGTAAAAATGCCCATAGTCATATTTTATGTTCCTAAAGTAACAGAATGACTTTCAATCTAGAAAAGACAAAAGAAATGCTAATGTAGCATTTTTTCAATTTTTCCGAAAATTTCCGTTTCCCCCCGAAAAAAAACGGAAAAAACCCGGGGGGTTTTCCGAGCTTCAAAATTTCCGGAAATTTTACATCTCTAGTGCAGGACCATCCGAAGCAGAGTTGCACCCTTCTCATTCCACTGAAGTCAGTGGGCTTATCAAGTCGTAACTCTGCCTCATGCAGTTCAAGATCACCGGCAGAACCCATCATTTTTAGGTTAAAAATCTCCATAGTAGTATGGAAATCCAGTGGCTCGACCACTGAACTTCACTGCAAAGGTTCTAACATTCAGTCTGCTCGGGAGTTTACTGTCCTTGTTTTAGGGGCTTTCAGCTAGAACAGAACTAGCTTTCACGCGGCATTACAGAACTGCACACTGAGCCCTGGACTGTCATGAAGTGTGCAATTAGTAATACTGGGATATGGTTTTCAGAATTTGATCTGCACCTAGCAAACTAAAAAAATGGATTGTCGTCATGTGCACCGTCTGGCAAAGTCTTTCCTCTCATGCTCTCTTTCTTTCCCCCTTACAGTATGTTCTGCCAACCTATGAGATGGCAGTAAAAATGCCTGAGAAGGAACCTCCGCCTCCTTACATCCCTGCTTGAAGTAACACGACTGATATTGAAACATCTGTACCAGCTTCTCTTTTTTTATACTGTTAAACCGCTTAAATAAACATTTGAGGGCTTTAGGAATGAAACTGTGTGGTTGAGCTGAGAGGCATTTGATATAGCGACACTAAACAAAATATTCTTATTGGGATGATTCTCCCCCCCCCCCCTTCAAATCTTGGTAGCTTTTAATTTTATTGGTCTCTTTACACAGTTACTAAGCCTTAGGGTTTAATTCTGCAAGGACCTCTATATTTGTATTTAACTTTGTTCGTGTTTCCGTTGACTTTTTTTTTAGCATTAGCATGGATAACCAAGATTAGTTTGGGAGATGAATGTTTAGTTTGGGAGACGAGAGTTCTCAGGATCAGGCTCTTCAGAAAGATTATTCTACAGATTAGTTCACAAGGACAGTCTGATCAGATGGCAATAAGGTTTTTTTCATTCCTCGCTTTATAGAGGGAGAGGAAGGAGTTCAAACGTGGTATACGACTATATATATTTACTTTTTGCACTTTTACCCTTTATCTTACCTTACTGTGTTATCCAATGCCTTGAAACCATATTTTCAGGAAGCGTGAAGTTGGCACTACAGTTTGAAATTTTTGCTACGTGCTGTGAATGCCGGAAGAATGCACACAGAAAACTACATTTGTGTCAGATGTCAGTTGCATGCTTCTAATCTGTATGTATTTTCATCTTTGTTATAAATGATGCTTTAATAAATCTTGTTTAAAAAAAAAATTGCCAGCAGCATTGGTGTGTGATTTCATCAGTCTCTGAGTTACAGAAAAAGGGTTTTCTGGTTTCTTGTTCTTCTGACATAAAGTTTCATACTCTGTTCAGGTTATTATTGACCTGATATTGTGTCTTGAAGCAAAAACTGCTATGGGCAGAAGATGGAGTATTAAAAAGTGGTGTATACTAATGACCAACTGCATCTACCCCCCCCCTTCCGTATTTTGGTTGAGGTGGCAGGCGCTTAGTCTATTCTGACTCCACTGTCCTGTCCATAGGACTGTTATTTTTTCCCCCCCTCAGTGCCCTACTGCTCTGGATACCATTCGGACCCTGGAGTTTCTTAGGGTAATTAATCCATATAATTCAGGGGTTTGGTTTATCTGCTATTGCTACTTATTGCTTTACTGTTTTTACTGTTTGTTGATTTTATGTTGTGAGCCTCCCTGAGCCCATTTTTGGGGGTAGGGTGGGATATAAATTTAATAAATAAATAATCAATATTTTGTCATGCTAATTTTACTTTGGGATTCGTAGTTGTTATGTTACCAGACTTGGAGATGAATCATTATGAGAGAACTTGGCATATTGCTGATGGGTATTAAAAAAAACAAAAAAACGCCTGGGCAGGGGAAGCAAATGCAGCTTCTCATTATTATTGCCTTCAAACACACACACATTTTTATGGGCCATAAACCCTGCTCATCAAACTTGTGCTTTAATGTTCACAGTATTTTGGTGTGACCAATGGCTTGGATCATTATTATTGCCTTCAAACACACACACACATTTTTATGGGCAATAAACCCTGCTCATCAAACTTGTGCTTAAATGTTCTCAGTATTTTGGTGTGACAATGGATTGGATCCTGCCTAGATTTCCATCACAGGAGGAGTGACTTGCACCCATCTTCTCTTACCACAGGGGACCTCAGATTCCCCCCTGAGTTTTTTCTCTGGGTCCCTGACCCCCCAGGGACAGCATTTTTTGTGTGTTTCATGTAGCCACTAGGGGGGAGAACTGGCCAAAAACAAAACCCCAAACCCTTGTCCCTGTAGAAATCTAGGCAGGATCTAACCCATCATTTTCTGGTATCATATTCCTGATTTGGCTGCCTTGACTCCTCTCTCTCTAGCTAAAAAAGAAGAAGATTCTTGTACCAGCCAGTTAAAACTATACGATTCCAGTCTGTGCGAAACACACTTGGCCTGTTAATTAGCCAGAAATTGTAGGGAGTAAGGTTAGTGTTGCAATGAATGCACTTCAGGTGCTCTGCAGAAAACACCAAACTGGCCGCTGCTGCTCCAAGTTAAAGGAAGTTGCATTTATTTAATTTATTTAGAACACTTCTCTGCAGCATTTTCAGGAACCTGCCTGAGGCAGCTTACCAGATAAGAAGTAGAAAAGAACATTTAAAGGAATGAATTAGAATCCGGAATAAAAAAAAGCACTACCCTGCATAAAAACATACATCATAGAAAGCAGACCACAGGCTGCTTAAAACAGCTTCCAGACGAAATTAATATTAAGAATCAGCCACTTAATTAAAAGCCTGGGTCAACAGAAATGTTTTGAACCCAGCACCTAAAAGGAAGCTATGTAGGTTCCTGGTGGACCTCAAGGGGAAGGGCATTTAACAAGTGAGGTGCTGCTACTGAAAAAGCCCTTTCTCCGGTTGCCACCTGCCTCCTCTCCGAAGGCTGCGGGGCAACAAAGAAGGGTGTAAGGTTGCCATCAATCAACGAGTCACTTCTCGGTTAAGAGGACGACTTTATTGAAAGGATGTTTCACTAACAAGGTTTCTGTTTAGAATGACAGGGAATGAATCGTGCAGGTAACATGAAAGAAGTTCAAACAGCCTCTACACCAATGGGACATATTCCCGCCAGGGAAGAAAGTAGCGCCAAAGTGCTGGGAATCATAACGGTCCATGTAATCCAAAACATCTCTGTTCCCAGGCTCTGAATAAAAGCAAACTTCAAGCAGACTATAGCAATACTCCTTATCTCACCACCTGCCCTTGGATTGTTTTGCGTTTCACTAACAAGCTGCTCGTTTGTGAGCATGCACTTGGGGTGCTAGGCAACAACTATCAACATATGTAGCTATTACAGAAAGGAAAGTAGGGTTAAAGGACACGTACAGGTTAAGCATATATACATCTGATCAACCATGGCAGCTTGCTGACGAAGGGCTTGTGAGGCAGATCTTAGCTACCGGACTGCATGGCATAGGCCAGGATCCAAGAATAAAGGACTGTGTTAAATAAACTTTAAAGCCAGCTTGGACATACTTGCCAGATATATACACATTAGATTTGCCTGTTCTAGTATCATTTGAATACGACACCGCCTGATCCCCTGCTTTTGGGTATATCTATATTTATTTCATTTCTACCACACTTTCTACCCAACAGGAACTCAAAAATGGCTTACCTTATTTGTTCTTCTGGTTTATCCTCATGACACCAACCCAGTGAGGTAGAGTACGTTGCATGTGTAGCCAAAGATCACTACAGCACACTTACTTGGCAGATAGGGTTGCCAGGTGCCCCTTGGCCACTGGTAGGTGGTGGGTGGGTCGGGTTGCCAGAGCCAGGTTGGGGAACTCCTGGAGACTTGGGGGTGGAGCCTGGGGAGGACAGGGACTTCAGTGCCATCGAGTCCACCCTCCAAAGCATCCATTTTCTCCAGGGGGACTGATTTCCATAGTCTGGAGATAAGCTGTAATTCCAGGGGATCCCCAGGTCCCGCCTGGAGGCTGGCATCCCTATTGGCAGAGTGTGGAGTTGGAGCTGGGTCTGCCAGGTCTTAGACCAGTGCTCTAGCCACAACATCATACTGACTCTCCAACTCTGCCATAATTTGTCTCTTAAAACTGGGCTTGGGGGGGGGAGGGGGTTGGACACCCTCACAACCTCACTTTAACAGGACTGAACGTTTGTCTGTAGCAGTCCTTAATAGCTGTGTTTTCTGTCTATAAAGCAGAAATGCTGGCAGCTGAAAGCAAGGTCAGATAGTCATGGGAAAGTTCTGTTCCTCCCCCTTCTCTTCGCCCATATGTGAATTGGAATCTAATTTGGTAGCCGTGGACAACCTTCAGACTCCGTTTTTCAGTTAGCAGAACACAGCTTTGCTGCCTCCACACGACCCCTCCCCTCCTCCACAGCTTGCTGATTTTCCCAGAATGTTACTCCTGGAGAGTAGGAGTGTGTGCCCTTAGAAGGGGGGAATCAGTGGAAATTGCCAATTTAGTCTGGATCCAACCTCATAATTTGTTTCCTTTGTTCATATCCTACCTTTCTCCCCAATGGGGACCCAAAGCGGCTTACGACATTCTCCTGTCTTTTATCCTCCCAGCAACCCTGTGAGGTAGGCCAGTCTGAGAGTGTGTGACTGAATGCACAGAAAACCTCCATGGCAGAGTGGGGATTTTAACCTGGGTTTTCTGGATTGGGTTCTCGGGGCATAAATGGAGGTTGGAAGATCACCTAGGTGGTCAGAGTTCTGGTTAAAATGGTGACGTTAGCGTCCACTGTCTGCACCTCTGCAATTTAAGAAAATTGTGATCTCAAGCCCTGCTAGCTGCGCTGTCACTCTGACGGGAAATAACAGAGCCTGCTAGAAGTAGGGCAAGTCCCCTTGGTGCTTAAACTATCATTTATTGTGCTATTATGCAGTGTATTGTTCCATCAGCTTCTGTGGACTAGAGTCTAGTGAATCAGATGCATAGGGACGTTCCTACTTGCCAGGTATATACACACACCACGCACAGAGAAATCTCATGGCATCAAAAGATATTACCTCCCATAATATTTCTGTACAAAACTCAAGTGCACAAGGGCTGTCGACTGGAGCACCGTACCCTGTTCAGATGTCTCAGTGAACACCTTGTGCAATTGGCCGATATGTGCATATGTACTGTGTGTGTGCTCACCTTACAAATGAAACGGGGGAACTGGATAAAGGTGGGGTTTCAATCACATGCTCAGCTCTACACCCATTAAATGCAACGCGAGAACTATTCAGTGCACATATAGAAAACGAGCAGGCGGTCACTAACCTGTGAACAGAGCCGTAATCTAGGACTGCCAACCTCCAGGTACTACCTGGAGATCTGCTATTACAGTTGAACTCCAGACAAGATCTATTCCCATGGAGAACATGGCTGCTTTGGCGGGTGGACACCAGACACTGCAGCATTGTACCATGTTGAGGTCCTTCCCCTCCCCAAACCCCGCCCTCTCCAGGCTGTGCCCCCCCCCCGTCTCCAAGGACTTCCCAATCCAGAGCTGGCAACTGTACTATAATCATGGCTTGACTTGATAAAGTAATGCCTGTGGTTTAAGAGGCACTCGTGATCATGACGGAGCCCTAATTGAACAATGCCAGGCTTCCTGAGAAAGTCTGAATTGAGCTGTTTTAGTCTGAAGTTTCCCTTTAAAGGTCTTTTGGATGGAAATGGGCTCCTTGAGAAAGGCTTGGGCTGCCTTGGCTAACTAGGGAAGACTGGTTTGCAGCGTGCATGCCAGCTGGCCACTATAACGAACTTGCATAATGGCCTGTACTTGTACATATTTCACCAGAAGTAAGTCTCAGTGGGGCTCACTCTCCAACCGGGGGGGGGGCACAGGATTGCGGTGTCAGGCTAGACTGAAGGATTTTGGTTGTAGGATGGAGAGCAGGTTGACTGCATGAAGCGAGACCTTTGACTTAATTCTCCCGTTTAACCTTTTATTTGTAAGCTCATAATGCTAGAACTCCTTTGAACACAGAAACCCAAATGGAAATTCTTGTGACTCCTCAGGATACTTTCTCAGCTCCTGAGACCCAGCTTGCTCCACACAGCCATTTGCAAAACATCCCACAGTGAGAATCCGGCCTTGAAGAGTCTCTTCCTGGTTAATTGTTTTTTAAGTGAGCCTCTGTGCCATTAATTTTGTTTTTCATTATATACTTTCTTGTTGAATATCATTTGGGGGGGGCTGCTAATGGAAGGGAAAAATGATGATGCTTTTAGAAAGCTGGAAGAATTTGGCTCTGCTAGTGTCATGGATGAGTGTTTTGAGAAATCATGAGCTTGCAACAGCAGGAGGAGACTTAAGGTGAGTTTATATGAGAAGGTTCCCAGTGTAGACAGACAGACATCTGTACCTTGGTTTTCTGGCACTGTGCAGAGAACAGAAAGTAAAACTTCACCACCATTATGTAAACATTGATTTACTTGAATCTGAACTTTCTAAATCCACTATGCTGATTTCAGTGGATTGCATGTCCTTGGATGTATGTAGCAGTCTCGGTTCACCTATTAGTTTCCCATTGACCTTTAGGTCATCTTGAGCTGGATTTTTAGATGTCCTCAGACAAGGCTGGGAAATCTCTGTCCCAGCTGCCCAGTTTCCTATGAGTTTAAATTTGATTCTGGTGCTTATAAGTGCAAGTCTGAGTAGATAGGACTGACCTTGATGGAGCAGTGATTGGATGTGGAAGCCACTTGAAGCAGGATTCTGATGATGTGGCATAGAAATATCCTGAATATACTAAATTTGATTTAGGTGTGTTTATGTATGACCTGCTTGGTACACAGAATCCCCCTTCCACTTCTTGTTAGTGAATAGAAGTCTGCTTGCCATGCAGAAGGTCCCAAGTTCGATCCTCAGTTATCTCCAGTGAAAGAGTTCAGGTAGGAGGGGATGTGAAAGGTCAGCCCAAGACTTTGCCAGTCTGAGGCTGCGGTCACACAGAGCATTAGCCACGCTACAGAGACGGAAGATAGGCGTATTTTCCGGGCGCGATCAAACCGCAACATCTGGGAAGTGTAGAGCTCCCATGGCGAACCCGAGGCTTCCCGCCGAAGATGCAGAGTTAAAAACTAGTACCTCCAAGGTCCTAGTTTCCGGAAACCGAGAGGCAAGGGCGGGCGTTTGATCACGTTTCCGGTGGTAGCTCGTGGCATCCGGCGCCCGCCCATGTCCCGTTGCGAAAAGGTTTTTTCCCCCCCAAGTCTCCACGGGATGTGCACAAGCACCCAACGGTGCATGCGCACACTTCGGTTAAAAAAACAACACAACCCCCGCCCCGCCGCCGCTTTGCCGCGCTGCAGGATTGATGTATGATTGGCACCTCCCCCCGAACCACCGGACGTCGGCGGGATAGACAATACTGACCTTGATGGACAATGGTCTGATTCAGTATAAGGCAGCTTCATGTGTGTTCAACTATTTTCCTCTCTGTGTTTATCTAGGATATAGCTACTTTCACTATAGCAAGCTAACTTTGTGTTGGCTATCTGAGGCCTTCACAATTCATGCTGTGATACACTGTTTTCTGGCCTGATTGGCTGCTGAAGCTGTTGATAATTAAAATCCAATTAATCTGATTATTGGTGGAAGTATATTTGAACTATGTGCTAATTCTGTTATTTCCTTTATGAGTGAGCCTGTCCTTTTTAAACCCATACCTACTGAGAGGGCCACTCAAAGAATGCGTTCAAAGGAGTGTTTGCTGTCTGGGGAAGGCAGTGACTGCTTTTTTCCCACCCCTCCCACACTAGCTCTTTGGCCAGGAACTTAAAATCTGCTCTTTCAAGGAAAAGGGGGGAGAAACCCAGAGAGGGCTGAGAGAGGTGGATCATTTGGTGCTCAAACCAAGGCAGCTAAAATGCTCCGGCTGGTCAAGACCCTCAGCTGCTGCCTTTGCATGCTACTACCTGTAGCCTGTGGGGCTCGGCACACTTTTGCCAACTTCCCAGTCCGAAGAAGCATGGATTCTGTTCCACAGCAGGTCAAAACTTTCAGTAGACCTGCCACACTGCTGGCTGATGAGCCCTACTCCAGAGGAACTGGCAGCTATTCTTCAGCCATCTCCCCTACAGGTAAATTACACTTCAGCAGCTATAGCAGGGGGTGAGAAGCTATGGCTTTTAGTAAAGAGATGGGAAGGTGGACTTCTTTGTTTAGCAAAGGTGCATGGTAGCTTGAACCTGCTTTCCATCTCTCCCACCGCTCCTAGCAGTGTTTCAGTTTATGCCCTGTATTTCTATCTTGCTTCTCCTGTTACTGTATATCTCTATATTACCTTCTTCTCCAAAGAGCTCAGGTTGGTATGTTTGATTCTCTAGTCCCAATTTATTCATTTCTACCCTGCCTTTCACTCCAATGGTGACTCAAAGTCGCTCAGGTTGTTCCTCCATTTTCTTCTCACAATACCCCTGTGAGGTAGGCTAGGCTGAGAGACAGAGAGAGAGCCTAGCCCAAAGATACCCCAGTGAGCTTTACAGCTGAGCAGGAGTTTGAGCCAAGGTCTCCCCTGCCTTAGCCTGACAGGTCAATCATTACACCATGACAGTTATTCCAGAAGATGCAAAACTTTACCTTGTACAACTTTTTTTTTCCCTTGCAGCAAATGAGATGGCAGATATTCTGCCATAATGTAGTTGACCTAACTGGGTTGTTGTGAGAATGACTGAGAAGATAAGTTTCAAATCCTCTATGTTTTCCCTAAGCAGTATTTATATGCTCAGAAAGCCAATGGGAAGAGTTACAGAAGGCACAGCTCTCACTAACTGTTTGCTGAATGGCCCAGTTTGAGATCAGTGCTGGTAACGAGTGCGTATGTGTGTGAGGTGTGTGAAATAGCCTCTGTCCTTAAACCAGAGGCAACTTAAGATCCCATCAAAAAGCCAGTTTGGTGTAGTGGTTAGGAGTGTGAGGTCTAACCCGAGAGAACCAGGTTTGATTCCCCACTCCTCCACATGCAGCTGCCGGTGTGACCCTGGGTCAGTCATAAGTTCTTTCAGAGCTGTTCTTTCAAGGGCAGTTGTCGAGAGAGCTCTCTCAGCCCCACCTACCTCACAGGGTGTCTGTTGTGGGGAGGGGAAGGGAAAGGAGATTGTAAAGCACTCTGAGACTCCAGGTAGTGAAGGGCAGGCTATAAATCCAATCTCCTCTTCTTCATCATCATTAGCAGCTGCATGTCAATAAAGGTCTGCAAGGATCCCTAGACACCTGCACCTGTAGAGTTCTTTTTATGTTTTTCAGCATGAAAGCATCTAAAAACCCTTTAAATAATCAGTACTATTATACTAGATCAGTTAAAAGGCCTAAACTGGATTATTTAACAAAAAAGACTGAGGTATGCCTCAAATATACCTACCAGTCAACAACAGGTTCCTTCTAGAACTTATGGGAGCTGATGCTCCCAAATGTACATATAAGTAAGCAAATTCAAGCATGCTTTGCATAACTTCATCCCTTGAAGTTTTGGATGCGGGACACAGTATCCATTGCAGATCCGATGCCACAAACATTCATCTCATAGGCACAGTATTTTTTAAAGAGGTCCTTCATGTGTCCAGCTGTGAGTTATCAAGCAGCAAGGACTCCAGGGCAACCAAGGATTGTAGCTGTCCCTTTAAGGACAACCTCTCTTGTGACCTATGGAGAAAAACAGCCTAGCTTCCTAAATCACAACAAACCGAGTGATGAAGTCGAAATGTAAACATTTTTTATACCTACAGACTATTTTAAATTTTAGAATGTCCTTGTCTCCTCCACCCCCCACTTTGAACCCCAGAAGCACGTAAAAGTGAAGCTATAAGACTCTGAGGGAAAGTAGAATCCAGATAGTTTAGGTCAGCAATTCTTCATTGGCACCTTACACAATCTACAAATCTTAGGGTGCATTCAGAACTATAGAGGGCATTTTGGTATCACACAGCTGCCTCCCCCCACTTGCAATGGCTTCTGTCAGTGAGTGAATGAGAGTTGTTTTATGTTGTTTACCTTTATAAGAAGAAGAAGAAGAGGAGTTTGGATTTATAACCCGCCCTCCACTACCCAAAGGTGTCTCAGAGCGGCTTACAAACTCCTTTTCCCTTCCCCTCCCCACAACAGACACCCTGTGAGGTAGGTGGGGCTGAGAGAGCTCTTGACAGAAACTGCTCTTTTTCAAGAACAGCTCTTACCAGAACTGCGGCTTGCCCAAGGCCATCCAGCCAGGTGCAAGTGGAGGAGTGGGGAATCAAACCTGGTTCTCCCAGATTAGAGTCCGCGCACTTAACCACTACACCAAACTGGCTAAAAAATGCCACCTTAAACAGTATGTCTTCTGTCGTAATATGCCTTGGACATCCTTAACCTTGGAACTAAATAATAATGGTTCAATACACCTGTTGCCAATCTAAGGTGTATTTTGTTATATTTGCATATTTCCTTACAGTCTTCCTCACTTTTTTTGTGTGTGTCTTCTGTTTTAGCATTAGTAATTGTGGTTAGGCTAAGAAATGTCTGCAATTTGGCATTTAGAACACAATATAAATGTGTGGCATTTGTAAATAATGATGTCCAGAAATAGACTGGGGGCTTCAAAATGAGAGTAGAGATTATATATAGGACAGGGGCCAGCAACCAGGGGCTATAAGCAGCCAAATATGGATATTCAAAAAAAGAAATCTTTATATTAAGGTGCCTTGAATACATATGTTGGCTACCAGAATCACCAGTAGGTCAAGGGAATGGCAGGCAAAGATAGTTATGGAACAAAAAGGCTTCTTTAGAGAAGATTTAAAGAAAGGGAAATGAGAGAGGTGAACAGTTACCAGTAATCCAAGCGTAAACCATGCACCTATTTATGTCAGTGCTCTAAGGAATCATGCAGGGTGCTCCTGTGTACATTTATGACTTACTGTGAGATTGAAGAGTCTGACTCGACTATGTGACTGAACAACATCATCAACAGCAAGTGAGATCTCATGTGTGCCCCTCCTAATAAAGGACTCACAACACCCAGTGTTTGGGCTGCAGAAATTTTGCAGATCAATGTGTCAACTATTGGTAACTGTTAAGTTGTATAGTTTCAGTTATGTAAATGGGCTGTCTTATACTGACTGTCTCTTGATCTCTTGCTCTGAAGTTTGACATCGTTTGACCCTTTAATTATAAACAGCTGCCGACCCCCAATGTAAAGTACATATATTCTCCTGCTCTCTGATAAAGCATTGTTGTTCTGACTACACCCTCCACACAGACATACCTACAGACATGGATCCTTCTCAATACCCACAATGATACGCCCCGCTTCTGGCCCTCATTCAGCCAGGAGGAGGCAGGAGAAGAGGGAGGGTAAGTTGCTTCCTCCCTGCCTCTCCCCACCCCTGCCTGCCTGGGGCCAGGGAGGGCCTTTGCGGGGCTTCCTTGCACTCCCGCCAGCCTTGCAGGTCCACCGCCGGGCCCCTCATGGGGCTCGGCAGTAGAGCTGCAAGGCCAGCGGTGGCGGCCGGGACCGTTGGGGGCGGGGTGTGTGGCCTTATGACACACTTCTGGTGATGTCAGGGTGTGTGGCCTCATGACACACTTCCGGTGATGTCAGGGTGTGTGGCATATGGTAATGAGTTATGCTAATGAGTTCCCCTAGCTCTTTTTCTACGAAATGACCCCTGATCATCAGGTTCTGTTCTAGAAAGCTAACCTTTGCTTTGCACTTTACTGCCTCAGCAAGGTAAGTTCCTAGATCCTAGGGTTTCCAAATCCAGGTTCAGAAATCCCAGGAGATTTGAGGGTGGAGCCTGGAGACTAGGGTTTAGGGAGTGGAGGGACCCTGGTAGGGTATAATGCTCTGCACTTCACCTTCCAAGCAGCCATTTTCTCCAGGAGAAGTGGAAAAAAATGTTTTAAATGATGAATGAATGTATGAATGAGAAAGTGATTTTTGTCATTTGGAGATCAGTTGTAATTCTGGGAGAACTCCAGCCCCCACCTGGGGGTGGGCAACCCTACTGGATCCCATTATATATGTGTGTGTGTGTGTGTGTGTGTAATCCAGGAAACTCCAGGAATTTAAATCTTCCGGAGCAGTTTTTCAAAACCTGACTTCAGTAACTATGCAGTTCTGTGCTTGTTTTTTCCTCGCAGACGATGTTTGCAGGAGCAGGCCCCTGGATCTTGTGTTTATAATCGACAGCTCCCGCAGTGTCCGACCAGAGGAATTTGAAAAAGTGAAAACCTTCCTGGCCAAAATGATCGACACCTTGGATGTGGGAGAGGGAGCCACTCGGGTAGCAGTAGTGAACTATGCCAGCACAGTAAAGGTTGAATTTAATCTCCGGACGTATTTTGACAAAGCTTCCATGAAGCAAGCGGTATCCCATGTCAGCCCCTTAACCGCAGGCACTATGACTGGTCTGGCTATTCAGACAGCCATGGACGAAGCTTTCACAGAAGAATCAGGCGCTAGACCTTCTTCCCTCAATATTCCCAAGGTGGCAATAATTGTGACCGATGGTCGGCCTCAGGATCAGGTACAGGAGGCGGCCTCCAGGGCTCGAGCGTCTGGAATTGAGATCTATGCAGTTGGGGTTGACCGAGCAGACATGCAGTCCCTACGGCTGATGGCTAGCGAGCCAGTGGATGATCACGTTTCTTATGTGGAGACTTATGGTGTGATTGAAAAGCTGGCTTCGAAATTCAGGGAGACTTTCTGTGGTAAGGCCATTGTTTCCTCTTTCTCTCTGCCGCTGTAAGAAGCAATGTTCAGTTCACCAAGGGTGCCCTCCTCAAGCAGAGTGACACCTTTCTAAGCCCACTGAAGTACGCTTAAGACTGCACGGTAATATAGCACACAACAGCATGCTTATCTAATGGGTCAGAAGATTTGTGGTGGTGGATTAACCCACATTATATATCGTAGAAAAAGAGCTAGGGAAACTCATTAGCATAACTCATTAGCATATGCCACACCCCCTGACATCGCCGGACGTGTGTCATAAGGCCACACACCCCACCTCCAACGGTCCCGGCCGCCGCCGGCGGCCTTGCAGCTCCACTGCCGAGGCCGGCGGGAGTACAAGGGAGCCCCGCGAAGGCCCTCCCTGGCCCCAGGCAGGCGGGTGGGGAGAGGCGGGGAGGAAGCAACTTCCCCTCCCTCTTCTCCTGCCTCCTCCTGGCTGAATGAGGGCCAGAAGCGGGGCGGCCGGAAGTAGGGGGCGGGGCTTCGTCATGTGCCCCGCCCCCCCTACCTCACCCGGGGGGACTGCGATCCCCCGCGATCCCCCCGAAATGACCTCTGGATTAACCCGATGTGGGTGGAGCTCTCAGTAACCAGACACATGATTTGTGATGTGTGGCTAGAACCTTTTACAAAAGGTACAGCAAGGCTCACTACTATGCTACTTCCCACTTATGTGAGAAGTTGCCCTGACCTGGTGGCCCAGGCTAGTCTGATCTGAGAAGCTAAGCAAGGTCGGCCCTGGTTAGTACTTGAATGGGACACCACCAAAGAAGTCCAGGGTTGCCGTGCCGAGGCATGCAATGGCAAACTGCCTCTGTTTGCCTCTTGCCTTGGAAACCCTATGGCAGTGATGGCGAACCTTTTAGAGACCGAGTGCCCAAACTGCAACCCAAAACCCACTTATTTATCGCAAAGTGCCAACACGGCAATTTAACCTGAATACTGAGGTTTTAGTTTAGAAAAAACAACTCATACATTAACATAAGATGATCCAAACAAAGTAAGGAAAGCAATCCCAAATGCTTTCATTTACTTAAAATTATTTGGCAGAGAATTCCACACTTTAATGACGGTCTGGGCCTGGCTGGGGCGATGGCACGCGTGCCCACTGAGAGGGCTCTGAGTGCCGCCTCTGGCACGTGTGCCATAGGTTCGCCACCACTGCCCTATGGGGTTGCCCTGAATTGGTTGCAACTTGATGGTACTTTCCCCTACCAATTATGCACAGAAATGCTCAAAAGCTATTTATGTGAGATACCATGACAATGATAGCTAAAATTTAATTCTTTCTCCTTTCCTAGTTATAGGAATTTATAAGTTATAGAATTTGGGATCTTAATTTCTACACAATATGGGATCTCCGTTATTTCTTACATTGTTTTCTGTCATTATTATTTGCAGCACAAGCCATACAATTTAAGTTTTGGTAAATGTGGTGGTTATTCAGATATTCACTGGCTGAAGTGGATGTTTTCGTATCACTGTACTATGTGAATTCATATGTGGCATCACTTGTTCAACAAAGGCCTTGTGTTAAAATAATGCTTAGCATTAAAACTTACCATCTGAGGTAGAAATCTTGAAAACTGACCTTCTGTCTGAGATGGCAAGTCTTGGTCTGAGACATGATTTTCATATGTAAGTTCTTTCAAACAAGCAATTAACTACATGGAAACTGAGTGGTATAATGCTATAGGGGGGGGGGGGACTGCACTGCCTCAGCCAATCAGTCTTTTAAATAGGTGCTCCATCTTAAGAGAATAGAATAATTTTAAAAGTTCTACATGGAGTCATAGTAAACAAGATTCATCTCCAATCTTCTCCCCTAGCTGTGGATGCCTGTGCACTTGGAACACACAACTGCGAACAAATCTGTGTGACCAGCGATGGGTCCTGGCGCTGCGACTGCTATGAGGGGTACACCCTGAACCCAGATAAGAGAACTTGCTCAAGTAAGAAAGTGGCCGGTCAGCACAGTTTGTGAAGAGAATGTTTTTTTCCAGGGGGAAAGGAAGTACTGATATAATTCTTCAACTTCTCTCCTAGCTAGGGAGACCTGTGCCTCTGGAACTCATAACTGTGAGCAAATCTGTGTGAGTACTGATGACTCCTGGCGCTGTGACTGCAATGAGGGGTATACCCTGAACCCAGATATGAGAACCTGTTCAAGTAAGAAACTAGTAGCTACTGAAGAAACAACAATGCTATAGTATTTACACAGGGCATTTCAAAACTTTGTGCACATGTAATCCTAGTATCATTATCCCCATACTGAAGAAGAGCTGGTTTTTATACCCCGCTTTTCTCTATCATAAGGAATCTCAAAGCAGCTTACAATTGCCTTCCCTTCCTCTCCCCACAACAGGTGCCTTATGAGGTAGGTGGGGCTGAGAGAGTTCTGAGAGAACTGTGACTGGCCCAAGGTTACCCAGCAGGCTCCATGTGGAAGAGTGGGGAATCAAACCCAGCTCTCCAGATTAGAGGCTGCCGCTCTTAACCACTCACCAAAATGGCTCTCAAGATGCTGAAGAGTGAGGTAGTTGCTTCTCTAAGGCTCCTCAGTGAGTTGCTGGCTGAAGTAAGGTTTTTAGGACCAGCAGAGACATCATGTCATAGCTATATGTATTATTTCATTTACTTCATTGCTACCCCATCTTCCTCTCCAGTGAAACCCTAAGCAGGTCCTCCCTCCCATTTTATTCTCACAACAAGCCTGTGGGATAAGCTAGGTTGAGAGTATGTCTGTGACTGGGCTAAGGTCACCCAGCAAGCTTCCAAGGCTGAGTGGGGATTCGAACCTGGGTGCCCCTGATCCTTAGTCCAATGCTCAAGCCACTCCACCAGTTCACCACCCTGGCTGTCTATATCTTTAGCCTATACAAGCTCTTATTAAGTAATGCCTCAACAGGTGATATATCCATGTATTCCCTCAATAAATGTAGTCAGGAAGACAAAAGAACAGAATTATTGCCAGTTTGGTGTAGTGGTTAAGTGCGGGGACTCTAATCTGGGAGAACTGGGTTTGATTCCCCACTCCTCCACTTGCACCTGACTGGATGACCTCTTGGGCAAGCTGTAGTTCTGACAAGAGCTGTTCTTGAAAAAGAGCAGTTTCTGTCAAGAGCTCTCTCAGCCCCACCTACCTCACAGGGTGTCTGTTGTGGGGAGGGGGAGGGAAAAGGAGTTTGTAAGCCGCTCTGAGACACCTTTGGGTAGTGAAGGGCAGGGTATAAATCCAATCTCCTTCTCCTCCTCCTCCTCCTCCTCCTCTCCTCTTCTTCCTCTTCTTCCTCTTCTTCCTCTTCTTCTTCTTCTTCTTCACATTTTTCCTAGTTAGAAACATCTGATACAGCTGGAACCCACAACTGTGAGCAGATCTGTGCAGCCAGAGATGGCCTTTGGAACTGTGATTACTATGAAGGGTATACCTTAAATCCAGATAAGCAGACTTGTTCAAGTAAAATGTAGTTATTTAGTTTTGCTTGAAACTATTTCAACTCAGCTCATCCAAAGCTCAGAGCTGTTCACTACACAACAAATTCAATACAGCATTGGTTTATGCAGTTGAAATTCTAATGCCAGTTTAAAAACCCTTCCCAGAGGTGGGGTTTGGGAAGGGGAGGGACTTTAATGGGGTATAATGCCATTGATTCCACCTTTCAAAGCAGTCATTTTCTCCGGGTGAATTGATCTCTGTCACCTGGAGATCAGTTGCAATAGCAGATCTCCAGCCAACATCTTGAGGTAGGCAACCCTACACATTCCAGATGAGGGAAAAGAAAAAACTATTTTTTATATTTCATAGCTAAGGCTGCCGTGTGGATTTTTTAAAAAAAATTCATACAAATAGACCCGTTGGACATAGGTTTGTTGGGGAGCGTAACTTCCTTTTTTTTTTTTTTTTTTTTTTGCCCCCCGGGGGGGTTTTTTTTTTTTTTTTTTTAAAAACTAAAAAAAAAATCAAAACTAACACAGAAAATAGGGAGGGGGACTACATTTACAGGATAAAGTAAAGAAACCCACTACTACCTAAAAACCCAAGAGAGGAGATCATCAATAGCTTAATTACATCAAGTCTTCCCTTCTTTTATATCATTATAAAATGAGTCAAACATTTATAGTACCTTTTACCCTTTTCTTTAAGTCTTAAAGTTAACTGTCTAAGAACAGTACCCCCAATCATCCCATTTCAAAGTTCTCAAAGGCACAAATCAGAGTCCTTCAGCCAGTTTGGTGTAGTGGTTAAGTGTGCGGACTCTAATCTGGGAGAACCGGGTTTGATTCCCCACTCCTCCACTTGCACCTGCTGATGTGACCTTGGGTCAGTCACAAGCTCTGGCACAGCTGTCCTTAAAAAAGAGCCGTTTGTGTCAGAGTTCTCTCAGCCAACACCCACCTCACAGGGTGTCTGTGGTGGGGAGGAGAAGGGAAAGGAGTTTGTAAGCCGCTCTGAGACTCCAAGTGAAGGGCGGGGTATAAATCCAGTCTCTTCTCTCTTCTTCTTCTTCTTCACTTCTCCTTTCCCCTTCTCTTCCGCAGCTTGTAAGGACTTTTTGAGGCTTCAGTGGGAACGAAACAGTTTCGAGCTGGGAGAGCCGGTTTCAAATCCCCACTCCGTCATGGAAGACTGCTGGGTGACCTTGAGCCAGTCACTGGGGCTCCCCGTTCTTCCTCCGGCAGTCTAATTCAGGGGTCTCCAGCCTTTTTGAGCCTATGGGCACCTTTGGGATTCTGACACGGCATGGAGGGCGCAGCCACAAAATGGCTGCCACCAGAAGCACAGCCAGCCCCAAAACGATGGCCACAGCTTAACTTCGGCTACACAATGTAGATTGTGCTGGGGTGGCAGCAGCTGCCAAAACAACATTTTTAAAAATCTGCACAGCCAATCAAATCTCCTGACAGGGCTATTTTTGGGCAGGAACGTACAGGAACGGAGTTCCGGCTGGCTCCCGAGTTGGCCACACCCAGCAGGAACTAATTAGCATAACAGGCCACACCCAACAGCAGAAACTCATTAGGACTGGCTACATTAGGGGTGTGTGGCCTAACATGCAAAGGAGCTCCTGCTACAAAAAAAAGGCCCTGGGTTTTGACAACAAACCATGTAAACAGAA